TTCAACCTCCACCTAAATACTACATAATCTTGAACGGATCTTAAACTTGGTGGGAGATTGTTGAAAAGAACTATTACTGAATATTTTAAATGATGCTAAAAAAATGCGGTGGAGTGTGGCAGGATATTCATAAAGCATCTAGGCCTACTTCTTGTTCCATAATAGCAATTGTTGTTGTTTAGCAATTTTTATTGGGTTTTGTGAAATAAATAAATTCACCAAATTTAAAAATATGTCCCAAAAACCAGCAAACTACGACAGTTTATTTCCTTCCCTTAACGATTGCATGGCCATTTAATTTTGCAGGTTAGGTAAAATGTATATAATGTGTGTGCAGGTTTACTTGTTTGTACTGAATTTAATAAATATTGGATGAATTTCACTTGAGTTATCGTGCTAACGGACATATTATATGCATTTGAACAAATGGTGCTTTTGACATCTCGGGACATCAACACGCTTAAGTAAAGCGGTCTCTGGTCAATGTCTTACCACGAGAACTTCGGTAATAGCTTATTCCCTATATGGTGAAATTAGCTAAAACACATTTTCTGATATCCATGAGGAGTCAGAAAAGCTCAAAATAAAATTGGTTCTTGATTATTTAACTCGTAATACCAATGGTTGAAAACTATTACGGACGCGCTTAAAAACAATAATGTACAAATAAATACGAGCCAATAATGCCCAATAAAAAGATTAAATTGGCAAACTACTAGAAAGACTACTCTCAATGGACTCGTTATAAGAATGTTATACGATGGCAGTTGTATGGAAACTTATCACGGAATAATGCCCAGTATAATACTTTGGCAACAATACTAACATCCCTTACATTGTGTATTAGACTAGTACATACTGTGACGAGGACGAGACTGTATTTGGCACAGGCTTCACGGAAATGTTAGCTCGTACAGCCTTAATGGAAGAAAATAATAAACTCAGTAGGGAAATTAGGTCTATATGCAGTTCCTGTTGCTTATAGTTACCAGGATTCGTAAAAACAACCAAATAGTTATCGTATCAGCACAAATAATATTGTTCGTGTTGAGATCGAAAAGATTATTCATTCTCAGGATGGATAATATTATCAAATAGTTTTCATATAGTTTGCATAGAATAGTAAAATAACAAGTTTTTCAAAACCATTAGCGAACCTATCTAGGGCCTATACCCGGGAACGCTTGGATTTTCATTTTGATGTGTCCAGAGGCCAAAAACTCCAATAGTAATTTTAAAACATATAGAAATTTTTGCGTTAATTCGAGAAAAATCATCCGGTCTGACCGGGTCGGACTATAGGAAGGGAGTTTTATATGGATAAAAATTGGTTATTCCCATTTTCGATCCTCTAAAGATATTTTTCACTTCCTTTCCAAACTATTTTAAAGGGCTTACAAAATCGAAAAATTTGCTTTACCTTTGCTTTCGTTTAATAGATACAGAGAAAATTCCAAAAAAACTGTAAATTTTAAATTCCAATGTCAAATTTATAGAGAATAAGTATAACAATTGAAGTTTGCTTGTTTATAGAAATTGTTAATCAAATTTACGAAATTATTTATTTCATACTGAGTTATTGATATTACACTAAAACACACTTTATTACCTTCTCTTTACCGGGAAACATAAGTACTCATTAAATCTAACGCTATTGAAATAGTGTGAGATTATTAAGGAAATGAAGAAAACCCAATCAAGCAAATGGATAATCGTTAGTCTGCAGGTTTGCTGTGGTGGGGTAGCGATGGTGTAGATTGATATTGTAGCGTGACGTAGCGATACGGCCAGTTTTGTTCAGCAAGTTGCCCTGAGAGGTATGCAGTTATTACCAAGACTCTGTTAAGGCCGTAGGGGTCAGATTCAGCTAAGACGTTGCCGCATTCTTGGGGGTTATAGCAGCCCTGTAGATATTGTTTGCATACCTTGGCTCTCTTGATTGTTCCCTGCCCCTCTAAACTCCCATTATAAAGTGACCCTTGTAAAATAATTAAGAGGGGTAAAGATGAAGTAAAAAATTACAGTGGAGTAGTTGAAGTGTGTATTATTCGCGTTGTGTTCAGTGCTTCGAAACCTACTATAAATAACATTATTTGTGTTGTAGTGGTATATTTCAAATATTTTGTTGTTCTCTTTTGATGAATTTTCAGCAATGTTTTACTGATAAATGGTAACGGATTTACTGTTACACAAGTTTTTCCAATAATCATTTGAAATCAATGTCTTAAGGATGCAGCCCCCTTCCCCTTACAAAATACTTTCATTCATTCATATCAACGGATTCACCATTTTACAAGTATTACGTATTTGATAGACACACAAATAGAGTGAAATAAGTAATGTCAATTGCGCTTAACAACAGCAGTAACATGCTTAAGATCACCAACAGTATCACAAAAAGATATCAATCTAATCCAGATAAGGACAACAACAAAGTATTAAATTCCCAGGAAATAAATATTTAATATTAAATCAATGTTTATAAGAAGTGTGAATGAAATTGCTCGCAAGTGAATGATCAAGAAAGCAACAAAAATTAACTATTAAACTAAATGTAGCAATAATAAACTATATGGTTACAATAATTGTATACTAAACATTTTGCGTGTATAGGTACATCCCTCGAATCGAAACCCTAGAGAGCGTTTTTTCTCAAAGGCTTTCATGGAGCATTGGAGAAAATATATTCCTTCGGAGTAAATAAGAGATGACGATTCAGGGTAGCTAATTTCCTATCCAAGAACATTTATGACACAATAAGTCTCGTAAATTGCTTAGGCCCTGCCAAATGCAGAAGAATACGGCCCGAGAAGCAAGAAAAACTGCCTCAAGAGTTGCCAATTTTATCCAATTCTTCAGGTCCATATTGCGCTCGGAGGTCGAGCAAGTATAAGATTTATCTATGTAAAATGTCTGCTGTATGAGAAGATGTTCCCTGTTAAAACCAGTTGTAAACCATCAGCGTTCCTTATACGAGAAACGCTACTATATGTTCTTAAACGAACGCCCAGAAATGTGAATTTATATTCGTCTCTAATTATGTTGCAACATTTTGAACACACTGTAAAGGATGTGAAAACAAAAAAATGTTCGGTATACGCAACTGTGATAGCTTTACCTGGGTAAAGAAAGATAATTTAACACTATTTAGACCACCCTCTTTATACTATTATACATTTCAATTCAAGGAATTCAATACAAATACAATTTGAAACAACGTAATAAATATTATTCCTGTAAAAATTACTTTTGTTTCAGCATTGCTTACCGCCCGAATATAATGTATCCGCGGCTACCGGCCTCCAAGATCGCATTGGCTAAGGGCCAACCCAACACCGGGCCTACACTTTAAGGTATGTTTATTTCAACTTGAGTCACCCCTAAATAAATATTCTACTACCATAAATTATCTTGGTACCTAAACATAGCTTCTCAAATATAAAAATACTTTAACAAAGGCACTGTACAATACTTGTGTTATTCCTGATATGGTTACGTTTGTAGTTAACTGGACATTTTCGCAAGAGGGTAGCCTATAAAAACATGATGAAATTTGAAGAAGTTGTTGGTCTGTTTTATTGAGTTTTCCCGTGCATCTGGGCCTAGGGCTAGAGAGTGGGCCAGTACATTATAAGAATGAAATCTTAAGTGGCTTCAATGGGAAGCGAGCCCAAGACATCGCTGCTTTGGTTACCGCACAACCGACTGAGCCACTAACTCACAACTAAATAAAATACAATACAAAATTTAAATATACATTGATACGTATACAAATTATGAACGGAAATAGCAATTTATAGTGTTTGTCTTAAAAATAATCTTCCGGTTTAAGGAATATCCAGAGCCATAAAATAGTTGGAATTTTTATTTGTTTCAATGTCCTTAAAAAGTTCCAGGTTCTAATTGAAATACATTTTTATTGTTATACATATTTCACGCGATAAAGGTTATTTCATTTAATTTTAATAAATGAAGTTGAAATAGTTACATTGTCAATTGGCTAAAAATCATAAAAGCTACAATTTATATAGATATCTTCATAAACATGTTTGATTTGAAAAGCGAAATCGATTCTATAGATGTGGTTCAAAATTGAACGGTACTTTTTTAAATCAAATTAGATACGTTCATGACCAATAAAAATTGTAATCTCGGCATCTTGAAACACTGAAGTGAAGCTAGACCACTTACAAAGTACCCGGATGACAAATACGATCGCACAGATATACTGGCTGATTTTATGGCTCATAACGCACAGCATGGCTCGGCGCCAAGGCGGCGTACAACACACTGCGAGGTGAGGCTTTATGGCTCAAATAACTGACTCAAGGACTTTGATAACAGTCCTCTGAAACATCAGAATTGTTACTCTAGGTAAATGCCGTGAAAAAAACACTACAGAACCGATTACGGTTTGATTTCTGCGATTGTCTCTGTACGAAGAATGGGGAGCGAGCTGGCGTAGTGGTCAGAGCGCGGGACTTCAGTCCCTGAGGTCCCGGGTTCGATCCCCGCCAAGTCACCAATGGATTTTATCTAAGTGATAATGCTGCAACCCCTAGGTCTAGTCTGAAGTAATGCGAAAAACAATCCCAGACTCGTGCCTAGCAAAAAAAAAAAAAAAAAAAAAAAAAAAAAAAAACTACGAAGAATCGCAGCCGTGGCTCAAACGCGTAGGATTTAGCAGTAAGGAAGGGAGTAAGTTTAGGTACATGGTGCGCTTTATTACGGGGATAGGGTTTTGTCGTGTCTAAAACAATATACGTTTCAAGGGAGAGTCTTATTTCTACATGCGGTTTTGGGTGAATGGTATTGTACGTTTAGGCCATGCCTCAAACACAGCGCGTTTTAAAGAAGGCGGTAGTTTTGTTCTTGGCACAAACGCTGTCCATTTTATGGAAGAGTTTAGAGCTATGTCTTGGTCATGGCTGAAACACAGTTCAAGTACAGAGGGGAAAGTTTTGATCAAGACTCAATGCACGGTAGATTAACCTCCTCACCTGTATTTTGTTGTATGCCTTGCGGATCCTCCGGGTAGACCACCACGGTGTCGGTCCGTCCGAGGAACTCTCGCAACTCCTGCGAACTCTCGTCTCCGGAACTCTCGTGTTCGATCTTGACGCGAATCTCGACGTCTGGGGACATGGGGGCCTCCGCCTCTGCCGCACCCTCCCCCGCCTCAACTGTCAACAAAACACCGCAGTCAGATCATCTAGTCAATCAATACCAAATCTACTTTAGAATAACGTGTTATATCAAATGTAGGCCTAACACCAGGTAAGGTTCTACTGATGCTGTTTAATAGTTCCTAAATAAACAGTATGGAGAATTTGGAAAAACCTCTAAAATTGAGTAGATTTATGATGACATTATACGGATAAATACCTGCTTATAATTATAATTTTAATTGTACAAAGTAACTATTATAGTTTAGGTATGAGTTAGTTCTAATTGTGCTAAAAAACTGTTATCTCAACTTGTTTTTCACAAGGAGCTAAGTTTCATGGAAACACTGTCGTCTTACGCCCATCTGGCAGTACATGGGCGTTAAGAGTTCCTTGTAACATCGTCACCTCCTGCACTAATAGTTCATATTTATTTCTGATAAGACGTTTCTTCAACACTTGTCCAGGAGTCGTAAACCAGGTTGGTGTGGAAACACCATTTTGCGATCTCCTGAGATGTCAAACAATTCGGTGGACAATTTGTGGCAGTACTTAGCAAGGATCGGAGTGAAGACCTTCATCTATAAATAATTCCCACTTTATGACATGAATTTGATATTGATATTTCTTAAAGGCAAGTTCTACTGTTCTCCAGCTCATACCATTATACCTATCTAGTCTTACGTAGATTACTACAGTGGACATATGTTCTTTTTCAACCTGAAGATGGAACTAATTTTCTGCAGAAACTAGATATTTAATCCAATTTCAAGGCTCACATTAACCAGATATTTACACCATTAAAATGGAACGTGTCTAGTTTCACGTGCGGTTCCATTACATAACACCATGTTAGCTATGGGGATGCTCATTGCACCAACAGTGTTACAGGTTGTGTGGCCCTAGCATGAAGGCAGAATCAGCCGAGCATGACCTGACATGTCCGACGTCCCGTGGCAACACCACAACACACAACACATAATTCGCAACACACACACACACACACACATGTCCTGACCGTGTGGTGTATGCACAGCCAACAACTTAATTACCGAATAGTAGCACCTGCAGTGAAAAGCGGACTGTTGTTCATTATGAACTTATTTTAGAAATTAAACCTTTGTAGAAAAGCTTTTGTAAAGGTTTTAACATGTTTTAACAGTTAGATTAGTTAGATGTAAATATGTATGAAAATTTTGAACATCAATTCAGTCAAATTCATTAATGTTTTCAAACACGGTATTATGATGCCGTATTTTTGCTATTTGTATTTACACGAGGTAGTTTCATGAAACCAAAGCAAATGTTACATGCAGCATAATATGTTAATCGATGTAGTAAACCATAGATAGATGAGGAATCAATTAGTAAATTAAAATGCATAATTTATTGATTAGAATTATTCAAATCAAATAAATAAAAAAAAATAAATTGAATAAATAATTATCGAAAAAATAATTTATTAAATAAATAAAATAGTTTATTTATTGAAATACATTTATCAAATAGATTGGTCAAATACATTTACTTGTATTGAGAAAATCTCGTTCTATATTGGACCACTCCTGTGGTTGAAAATAATATAATCAATAACACACACCTAATCCAAAGGGACTTTTGGCTTTTGTACGGGACTTCAGCGGATCGGACACTGAAACGCTATTCGGAGATGAAAGAAGGTGAAAGTAATTCCATTGTGGTACAAAAGTAATAACTGAGCAACGTGATATTGTGTTGAGATATTTTGGAGACATAGAGTAATAAATAAATAAGAGAAATATAGTGGAGAGCGTGTCTGAACATAGAGGAAACGGCTGATCCTGGCTTATAGGCTGATCCTGCACCTCTCATACTCTCCCCGCAGCCCACACTCTTGCCAAAAGACCTCCTGTTAGGTAATAAAATAGTACGAATTGTTATGCAATGTCTTTAAAATTATTAGTATAATATATTTTATTTGATAGTGAAATTTACTTAAGCAAATCCAATGTTAAATTAAATTATACAAATGGATTGCTTATTTTTATATTACTTCACATGCGTTGGTGAAATAGTTTTTATTTATATGGGTCCCCCAATAATTTTTTATATATCTAAATAAAAACTTTATTAAATGCGATATATTTATATTTGTACAACAGATTTTACAATGCTGATAGATTTCAACAAGCCATCCAAAATCTCTGGTTTTTATATGGTCTGAACACGATAAATATGATGTAAAACATTTTAAGGTGTTGGAAAAGCCTTAAATCGAAATATAAAACATTTAAAACTCGTAAATTACACCTAAGTACATTTAGGCTAATTTTGTGTAAAGTTATTCAGTGGTTTGTTTGGAAAAGCGTACCAAACAAATCAACAAACTCATGATCGCATTTATAAAATAAGCATAGAATAAACACCACATAAAACCACTGGTGTTTATTAATTAGGCAAATCAGTCTAATTAATTAAATATAAATTAGGATTCTACTATAATTTACTGTTAAAAATTAAAACGATTGAAAATTGCCTAGGAAGATTTGTATTAAAAAATACAGAAATTACTTACGTCTACTCCAATATTTTAATCCACAAATCGTAAAATGGGTTTGTTCAATTTACAAACTACATAGAATATATTGAATCGTATGAACTTCATGCATACGATAGCAATGAAATAAAATACATAGTTCAATTGCAAAAATTTAACGCTTTTGTATAAACCATATAACATTTTTGTTTAAATATTATGCTTCGCCACCGAGTAAGGCACGATAAGGGCAACATAGCTGATTTATATTATAGGCTCATCATCACGGTTAATACATGATTGATATCAAAACTATCATAATGTACGTTAGGCTTATATAAACTTTTACGCCTATTATAAACGTTTAATATACAATTCGTAAAATATGTTTGTTCACATATTTTTTACTAGCTTTGCCACCGAGTATAACCACAATAACGACATCCTGGGCCCAAGTCACGTTCTCTCTGTGGATTACATACTCTATCAGATCAGTCGTATTTGCAAAATTCAGTCTGCCGTTGTCCCATAGAGTTTTACGGCATCGGCGTTGTTACCTCGCGCCTTTCATACTCTGTGGACGTGACGCGTTTCCCGCGCGCGGGATCATGGCGAAATATCATATATGATTGCATTTGCACTTCGATTGCAGAAAGTCTACATGTTTTATGGTGCCGATTTTGGATTCCGATTAATTACTAGTTAAAAAATGGTTTGACGGAACGTTTTTTTAAAATCTCATTTTGGTTACTGATGATGTTTGAATAAACATAAACTTAAACAATCGTAAGGTCAGAGGCTAAATGATAAATTCAACACGAACTTAAAATCATATTTTTGTGTTACTGATTTACAATGTTTAAGGTACCTATTGAATCGATTTGGAATCCCCATCGTGTCACATAACAGCTTAAAGTATCAATATTGTTCAGTTCAGTTCAAGAATAATACATCAGTTTTAGTTGTTGTGCACAATCCAGATATGATTAGGTCAGGTTGCAATTAAGAAACTTAAAATGAGTTAAGGTCAGAGTTTGCATAAAGGATTTTACCATAACGTTGTGTTTAGGTTTAACATTTTCAGTTAAAACATGATCCAAACAACATTCAAAAGCCCATTCTTTCAACTAAATGATTCCAAGACGACCAAGGAAGCATTGTACAGTTCTTACCAATAACATCGTTGCAGAAGATTCTGCAGTATGTCTTTCATATTCTTCTTCATATCTGCAACACTGTGGGCTATACTCCTCATATCTAAAACATCTCATAGTAATGTCAATAAATCATTATATCCCATACTTAAGTTCCTTTCATCGTTCCTTTAAAAGACCAATGGTAGTTTTTACCCTCTCTCACCATACTTCAATCTAAATTTACTATACCTAAGCTTAGTCTATCTCCAGTTATTCGACCCCGACGTTTTAAGGGTGAAAGTCTTTAAAGTATTGTTGGAAATATTGGTGTCCAAACCATTTCATAAATTAAAAATAAATATATTTTCAAAGTCACTGTATTTTTTGAAACACCGTATAGATCAGATACATAAGAGCTACTTAAGTGAGTTTTAGGTCCCATTGATATTGGCGGAAACGTTGTTAGACTGTTTGATTAAACCCATTGTACAAAGTCAACTGTATAAGACAGTCCAGAGTGTTGACCTCTCTGAGAGGGGGGACGGAATGGTGACCTGCATGGACTAATTAGCTTCTAGTTGCAGAGGTTTTTGCACGCGTCGTGCACTCACAGATGCACACAGGGTGAGGATAGATATGTGAACGAGAAGAGACAAAGATTCTCATCATCACCCACACACGAACGCACACACACTCACACAGACACACACGCAAAGTCTACACGGACATAGGTCAAAGTCCGTCAGCATCAGAATCATAGTGGTCAGCTAATCGTGGCACTTTTAAATGCAAGTATTGTCAGGTTTCGTTAGAATTACATAATTATTGTTTATTTAAGCACTACCACAGGCATAATGAAAGATAATTTAGAAGATATAATTTTACGGCTGGCATATAAGATTCATAATTTGCTAAAAAATATTATATCATTATCAATATTAATTGAGATGGAGATGCCACCTAGATGAGTACTATAACCCAAATATGAGCGAAGGATGAGTGCAGGATGAAGTAAGATGCCTTGTGTAGCTTTGTTACTAGATCGCCTGTTTCTTTGTCCAGGATAAATTATGAAAAGCCTAATGATCAAGGACAGTTGGGTCAAGTTTCGAACCATCAAAAATCTACACACTTTTCTCAGGATCGAACCGGTGACCTTTTTTTACTAAGAGAGCACTATAACTAATGAGAAACCAGGTATATTTCTATTCAAAATAAATGTTAATGATAGTTACCTTTAAATATGAATGTGTAAATAACTGTTCCTGTAGAAACGCTAGTTTTTAATAGTTACCGATAACTGTTTTTATTTGTTATTATCTCGGATTATAATAAAGTCTTATTATTAATTGTTAATATTGTGCTTG